TAAAAACACACAAATAGGTAAAATACAGTAAAATTCAAACATGATTAGCAGCACACTGTCAATGAATATTGAAAAACCTGAACAGTGGATGTAAATAGATTAATAGATTAGTAGGTTAGTAGAAGTACATAGATATCGTTAGTAGTATTAATAGATTAGTAGGTAAATATTGTTGCCATGTGTGGTGTTGTTGATTGCAATCTTAATTATTATTGGTTATATTTCAATTATACCATTCTTACCATTGCTATTATATATACATATGTATTTATATATTATTTCTGTTGAACAAAATTGTCATTTGATGAGCTTAAAGGGAGAAAAATAGGCTCATCCTGTACCTACAGTAGTAAAGGATAATAAATATGTCAAAGGTTTTATTATATTAATGTCAAGTAATCAATGATAAAAAGCTCAAATCGACCTAGTGATTGAGTCATTTAGTAAAATAATCGAACATGAATGTCTATTGTCAAGTTTCATATATATATATATATATATTTATATTTAGATGGAAGGCATTTACAAAGGCAAACATGATCATATGAAGGAACATATCAGATCTTTGAGAAGTTACTATAACAGATAGACCACATGAAGTTAGTCATGATCAATATTATGTATGTGATGTCAAAATAATGAAACCCATCATTTAACCATATACACTATACACCAAAAAGGCACATGTACATTGTGTTTTGTCGTGCCCTAGTGGTCAACAGCAGACATTTGCAGTGTGTTAAAGAGCAGAGATGACGTGTTGTTCCTTTGACAGCCTGTAGGTGGCTCTTAAAAGAGCCGTTGGGTTGGAGTTGAGGGGGGGTGAACTCTACGCCCTCTCCCCGCGGATACGACGGGCCAGCTGGATGTCTTTGGGCATGATGGTGACTCTCTTGGCGTGGATGGCGCACAGGTTGGTGTCCTCGAACAGACCCACCAGGTAAGCCTCGCTGGCCTCCTGCAGAGCCATGACGGCGGAGCTCTGGAAGCGCAGGTCGGTCTTGAAGTCCTGAGCGATCTCTCTGACCAGCCGCTGGAAAGGCAGCTTACGGATGAGAAGCTCCGTGGATTTCTGATAACGACGGATCTCACGCAGAGCAACGGTACCGGGCCTGTAACGATGAGGCTTCTTCACACCGCCGGTAGCCGGGGCGCTTTTACGGGCAGCCTTGGTGGCGAGCTGCTTCCTAGGAGCTTTACCTCCGGTGGATTTACGGGCGGTTTGTTTAGTACGGGCCATGTCGATGTGACTGTTTCACTAGAGCGAAATATACAGAGGAAAAGAAGGCGCTGCTTTTAAAGCGTTTGCTGAGCTCCTCTGACGATGACGCTGCTACACTTTCTTCTCTCCTGGTTGGTCACAGTTCCAACAGTCCTGCCTATTGGACAGACACGGTTTGAAAAGACCGCCAGAAGACCCGGGCGAACCCCCTCCTCTGATCTGCCCAGAGACTCTGCTCTGGTTGGTTGTTACGAACACACACTTTTCCCGCTATTTCCTCATCTTTATAAGCCAGAGTCCGGTCTGTTTCAGGGCATTCTCTTCACTCTCCTTGTGTAGAAACGAACCTGAAAACATGTCTGGAAGAGGTAAAACCGGTGGCAAGGCCAGAGCCAAGGCAAAGACCCGTTCATCTAGAGCCGGGCTCCAGTTCCCAGTCGGCCGTGTTCACAGGCTGCTCAGGAAGGGTAACTACGCTCAGCGTGTCGGTGCCGGAGCTCCCGTCTACCTGGCGGCCGTGCTCGAGTACCTGACCGCTGAGATCCTGGAGTTGGCTGGAAACGCTGCCCGCGACAACAAGAAGACCAGAATCATCCCCCGTCATCTGCAGCTGGCTGTCCGTAACGACGAGGAGCTCAACAAGCTGCTCGGTGGAGTCACCATCGCTCAGGGCGGTGTCCTGCCCAACATCCAGGCTGTTCTCCTGCCCAAGAAAACCGAGAAGGCAGCCAAGACCAAGTAAACCAACAACAACGTCTCCATCTCATCCACAAAGGCTCTTTTAAGAGCCACCCACAATCTTCATAAAGACACAATTCCTAGATCATTTTAAAAACAAAACATAGAATGTAGTCAACAAGACATTAAACTATTTTATCATTATTTGTTCAAAAGTCTTCTTTTACTTATCCAAGTGTTAGCTTTTGTCAAGTACTAATTTTTTTTAGTGTATAATTGAATTGGTGTAAAACGTCATCAATCTAGTGCTACATTTGCCTCATGTACCTTGACCCTATTATGCAATTTCTTAGTTTACAATTATGTCTAAAGATAGACATACGTTTTTGTTTTGTTTTTTTGCCAAAGGAAACTTGTATAAATAACTAAGTTAGTGAAAGATTAAGCAGTATTACATCACGTGTATAATGTTTTAAATGCACAGTTGACGGCACCTCATGTCCTGCACTACAATCATCACTGCTTTTAAATAAACAGATACATATATATTTTATTCTGTTTATCTGTAGATTTAAATACTTGGGGCTGAATTCAAATTGTATTGATTAATGAAATGTTAATCTGTGTTAAAGAAAGAAATCACAAATCCAATCAATATAGAAAGAGGCTTTATGATGGTGATCTTTAATGATGGGAGGGGAGTTCAATCCACACTGAACAAATACAGTATATTTTCTTCCATGATAATGGGGATTTTTCTGTTATTACAGAGGCCAAAAAGATAGATAAATAGATAGATGACCTTGTTACAACAAAGAAATAAGTAACAAATATAAGGCCACAATATGGATCTAAATTACTTTTTACTTTTAATTTAATAACTTGATTCATTGGCTGATGAAGATACAGCAATTTCAAGAAAGAATAATGTGGATTTTACTGTTACTACAGAGGACAAATAAGAAAAATCAATAGCCACTGCAGATTTTTATTAACTAAAAATAACGTGTTTAAGGACCATTAGTGGAATTAAAAAGAAAAGTAACATTAATAAATGCTGGATTATTTTATGTTTCCATGAAGGAAACACTAAGATCTCAATATGAATGGAGTCGATCTGGTTTTAGTTTTCAGAAAATGACATTCTTTCCCCAGGACTGAACGATCAGATTATCAATTCGTGAACATAAAAGGAATGAGGAAGCAGCTGGAGCTCAGAGCAGAAAGCACCGTTCTCTACCACGTCCTCAGGTGGTGCTTATATAGACGCAGCCGTGGCTGTTCACAGCAGTCTGTTTCTCAGCCTTGAAAGCAAGAGAGAAAAATGAGTGGTCGTGGTAAAGGAGGAAAGGGTCTCGGCAAGGGAGGCGCCAAGCGTCACCGTAAAGTTCTCCGTGATAACATCCAGGGAATCACCAAACCCGCCATCCGCCGTCTGGCTCGTCGTGGTGGAGTCAAGCGTATCTCTGGACTCATCTACGAGGAGACCCGTGGTGTCCTCAAGGTCTTCCTGGAGAACGTCATCCGTGACGCCGTCACCTACACCGAGCACGCCAAGAGAAAGACCGTGACCGCCATGGATGTGGTGTATGCTCTGAAGAGACAGGGCCGCACTCTGTACGGATTCGGAGGTTAAACCTCAACTCAGACCCACGTTAGACACAACGGCTCTTTTAAGAGCCACCCACTGAAACAATGAAGGAAACATTTACTCTGATTTGTATTGAATTGTACTTTTGAGTTGCTGAGTCTTAACGTTACATGCTACAAATCTATTGTTTAACATAACTCCAGTTTTACAGGATTTATTTGGAGATTTGACACATTTAAACAAACACTTAGTGTTAATGTATATACTACACAGTATTTTGTTGTACAGTACTTTATTCATAATATGTAAATGTTAGGCCTAGTGATGTGCGATACTGCATATTTTAGTATCAATCTGATACCAAGTAAGTACCAGTATGGCTAATACAGATCTGATACTTTTTAATAACTAAGGTGGATGGATCATTGAGTTGCTAAATCTCAATTCATTTTCATGGCCGTAAGTGGTTTTTTTTTTTTTGTGACGTTTCCTTTTTTATCATTAAATAGTTAAAACCCAGGACAAAATAAGGTTTAAGTTTATAGTTAAATAGAAAATACGAGCTCTCTGAGTACCATGATGACCAACATTAGAATTCCCCTGCTTGTTCCACGTTCAACTTGCAAGTGAAGCCATGATTCTGTGCAGCCTGTGTTTACGTGAGCAACAGACTTGCATCGCAGAAAAAAAGGTAAATAAATTAAAGGACCAGTCATCCTATTTCATAATCTCACAAATAACTACACTTTTTTTTCTAAATCTTGTATTAATTGTGCATGGTATGTTACAGATTTATTCAATTGAAAATGTAAATGTGAAAATATGAATTTGCTTTGTATTATGTTCATGACGTCATTAAAACACAGTAGTGGTTAAACATGGACTGAGTGTTTCTCGATGGTTTAATGCTGAGTACAAGGGGAATATGTTACTAATACTGATTTCAGGGACACTTGCTATAATAAATACTACACAAAAAATTGAGGCAGATTATCAATTCAATATCCAAAACTGTGTTTAGATAAACCATGTCAATGTAAAATGATTATGAGGAACACTGACTTAACAAATGAAAGCAAAATGTCTGAATATAGTGAATATACTGAGCAAGAAGTTAAAGATATTCCATGGGATATGTTTTAGGCGACACCCACCCATCCATCCATCCATCCATCCATTTTCATACGCTTATCTGTTACCGGGTCGCGGGGGCAGCAGTCGCCACCCAAATCACACTGCACCGTACCAACCTCCCTAAACCTTCCTGCGGGTGGTGAGTCCACTGGAAGGTATTAATCGCCCTAACTGGGATTCAAACTTGCCCAGGAGGTGAACTCTGGGGTTCCACACCAATGACAGAGACATTGCCTCTGGGCCAAAGTAGGTGACACACGCAACAAAAAAATATGATGAGAATTTTGACAAATAATCAATAAAGTACAACCAGGAGCATCCTTGGAAAGACTGAGCTTTTGAACAATTTTCATCTCACATTCAATCTAAGGACAGAGACAGTGTTAGAGTTGGAAATATATTCTTATCAGTTTTAAAAAATATTTATTTATGTCATCCATTTTGGTTTCAATACATCTATTTTATAGTTAAATAGCAAAAAAAGTGAATTACTCGAGCTTTTTTTAATTTATTTGAAAAGCGTTGAGTCTGTCTGCATCAATTTCAAGATCCACACTTAAAACAAGGATGTCCTGGTAAATAGGTGATATATATAAATTATCAGCTCTAATGACATAATACGATTTTCATATGTATTTAAAAAAGCATTTATTAAAATTGTAATTTTCTCCAGTTATTGTCAAATCTATATCAAGTTTGTAAATATTCCTCTCTATAATCATGTTTTAAATGGCTACTAATCTGACA